ACGCGTGGTTTCGTTTGTTGTTCTATTCATCGTTTACTCCCTACAGTAACCACTAGCTTATAGCCATACTGGCTATAACAAGGATTGTCCAGTCAAAATATTGGGTGAATTTTGGCTGGTAAAGAGGCCTTCCACTGTCAGAGACTGGCCCGGAAACAATAATTCCCCCCCACCCCCTCAGCCCTTTTCCACACTCTCTACAGCCAGATACTAACTTGCATAAGCATTTAACACACTCCCTCATACTTAAAACAGTGTTCTGAAAAACGCAATGAAAAATCTTAGATTATAAAACGATCAGAAATTATTGAGGGCTAACTTTGCTCAATGCGTGTGTGTTAAATACATGTACAGTGCACTGACCCAAAGGAATAAGCTAACACAAACAAGGTCACCTTTGCATACACTGCGCCCACCATTTCGGAACTTCATGGTAGCACTAAAGATGGTTCCAGTAGGGAACGGGATAGAGGGTGCCCACGTCCCAAACATTGTATTGTATCTGATTCTACGCTTGGTCTGCATGGGACATTTCAGAATTTTTTCTGTGGGAATGTAGGTCTATATATTGTGTGGGTGCGTTGAAAGTTAGAGCCTTTTGGGGGGACCAGGACTAAGAGTTAGTTACTTCTCATTTTTAGTTTGCTTTCTAGTAAGGTAGAGCTTCTTTTTTCCATGCCGATGATTTCAGTTTCTATCCATCTCAATAACTTCTGCCAGTGTCTGGAAACTCAGAATTACATTTAAATGTAACCGTTGCAAAGCGCAACTCGCCTTAAGAGGGTCAAAAGCTTCACACACACACACACACACACACACACACACACACACACACACACACACACGTCAAAGGGCAAAGATCGTTTGAATGAGTTAGAAATTCCATCAATCCATAAAGACATAATAGTCAAATTGAAACGTTCCTCGAAAGAGTCATTGACACATTTGCTACAAAGAGCAGAAGGGCGGACTTTTTGTAATAGTGAAACCCACGTTTAACTAAACCATGTCATTTTCATTGGCTCAGTATGTATGTTATCCTTCTGAAGATTGTTTTAATACTTCGACTCTTTCTCATTATGTACCTGGACATATTTATATATGTAGTGGGAGGTAACCATATCCCACAATTGCTCTACATGTCTTGTGTGTGTGGCG